GCCCTACTCATCAAGCGACGAGTACAGACTCATGTTTCCGCTGTGGTCAGAAAGGACACTTCAGCAAAGATTGTCCTACTCGACCAAAAGAGCGTATGAGAGCCATGGATGACGATCAGGGCGAAGACGTTGCAGAGACCATCCAACCTGAAATGGAAGATGAGTACGAAGCACCGGAAGGTGATGGGTTAGCTGAACCCCTCGAGGAGGATGAGTATGACTTCTACAATCAGGAATATGATGGTGACCAATATGACAACGATGAGCCTGAACCTGATGACAGAGTTGGGCTCATGCACTACGATGATAATGAGGCCAACATCGCTGACTTTATACTGTCGGACGATGGCGAAAGCCCTTATGAGTATCTTACCGCTATCCAAGATCTATCAGATGAGGAGATATTATCATCGGGTCATGATGCATGGGCAGATCACCATCCTGAGTTATCTACTCAAGGAGTCGGATCTAGTACCCCAGACTCAGATGACGAGACAGTGCATACAGTATTCGTTGGAGATGATCCATCGTCCAACGAATATGAGATGCCAGTTGGACCAGTGCCACCACTGATTAGTGATCTTCAGCGCCCAATAGATGATCTCGAGTTCGAGAACCAGCTATTACGGGAATCTAATGAAGCACTTGGCCAGGAGAATGATCAACTGACTATGGATAACTGTGCACTGCTACAGAAACTCGGGATATGTGATGCCCTTAAAGACAATATCTTAAGGTTAGAGCAGACATCCAGGAGTTCAAATCCCAGGATGTTCTGCCGTATATCTTGCCCATTAAAGAAGTTAAGACACCTACAACTTCTGCGATCACTACCCCCGTCGATGGCGACTTAGTGCCAGTACGCAGCTGATTGGTGTTACGTGACACGCCAGGCAATCGCCCAACACGAACAAATTCAGAGTGTCAATGCATGACTGGTTACATCCGCATCAATGGTATTTTGGCCCATGCATTGTTTGATTTGGGCAGCACACTTGACTGCATTAGTCCGGACTTTGCGCGTATTGCGAATATCATGTGTTTTGAGCTGAATAACCCCCACATCCCTTCAGCTCGGCACTGTGGGTAGTCGCTCGAAGGTCAACTATGGTGCTCATTTGAAGCTTTCGATTGGCGGTCACTCCATTGATCATTATTTTGACGTGGCTGATATCGACCGCTATGATATTGTAATTGGCACACCGTTTTTGCGCGCAAGCCATACAATTATGAACTTCAAGGACAATATGTTATCGGTATTTGGGAAGATCGTTCCCTCACCTCCAAAGGGGGAGGGACAGGTGCACACGAAACATATAAAGAGCAGGAAGCCTGCCAAGACAGATCAATCCCATAAACCAGAATGAATCCCTGGCGCGGCGATGGTCACGCCGCGGCCAAAACGGCGAGTAACTATTGAGGAAGTGCCAGATGAGGAATTCACAAGGCCTCGTCAATACTCGTCTGGACCATTACTGGAATTAGTTGAGGATGACTTAAATCAACCAAAGACTAATGATTCGTTATACGGTAATCAACCTGGTATCGGTAATACTAAAGGACCTATTGAGGACAAATCTCAGCCTAAGGACCCTCCTACACAAGACGCAGAGACACATAAGACTCGATGAAGGGTCCCAGTCAGGCAATCCAGCAAATGGATGGGCGACGTGAATCAGAAAATACCATCATTGGGTATGGACTTCGCGCCTACACTCCACTCATCATATGATGGTCCTCGAGACAAGTACGGCAATGAAGACCCATTTGGAATTAACGAGTCTATATTGGACACATTCGAGGAATGTATTCGGCATGCTCATGGGCATGGTGATTTCACTGAAGAAGACATTCCACGACTTAGAGAAGAATGGTTGGAGCAGTGTAAAGATCTAATGGGAGATATTCCATTGAGACTACTCCCATTGCGACCTATCAATCACCACATTCCTCTCAAGGATGATAATGCTCAATATAATTATCATCTGCCTCGTTGTCCTGAGTCAATGCGACTGTTGCTCTTAGCCAAGATCGAACGGTATAAATCTGCGAACTGGTGGAAAGATGTTACAGTCAGCCAAGCTGCTCCTCTTCTATGCATTCCAAAGAAAGATGGTCGTTTGAGGACAGTGGTGGATTGCAGACAGCGTAACGACAACACGCTGCATGATGTAACACCATTTCCAGACCAAGATCAGATTTGTATGGACATTGCGAAGGCTAAATGCCACTCGAAAATTGACATGTTGGACACTTATGGACAAATCCGAGTCGAGCCAAAGGACATATGGAAAACGGCATTCGCCACTATCTATGGTACTTTTCTCAGCTACATTATGCAGCAAGGCGATACAAACGTGCCGGCTACATTCCAACGACTTATGACATTCATATTCCGTGAATTCATTGGAGTGTTTGTACATGTCTATCTGGACGATATCTCCGTATTTTCAGACTCTATTGAGGATCATGAAAAACACTTAGGAATGGTATTCGATCGTCTCAGGCAGTATCAATTGTATTTGAGTAAAACTAAGTGCAACCTCTATTCGAAGCGAATGGACTGCCTAGGTCATGTAATTGATGATCGTGGACTTCATGTGGACTCAGACAAGATGGCGCGCATTCGTGAATGGAGAATGCCTCGTAACTTCAATGAAGTACAGCGGTTCCTAGGCCTTGTGCAGTACCTCGCACACTTTATGCCTGATGTGACAGCCTATACTGGGCCGCTTGCAAGCATGTGTCGAGATAATCGCTCATTTTCTTGGCAACCAATGCATGATAAATGTTTCGAATCGATCAAAGCAATGGCTTGCAAGGCCCCGATCCTTAAACCTATCGACGTTAAAGTCAATGAGCCTATATGGGTTATATGTGATGCATCGGTATCAGGCGTTGGAGCTGT